AACCGGCACCCGCCATTCTGGCCCTAACACTCCCCCCTCCGTAGCCGTTTTGGCTTCTCTAGGGGGGCGCAAGGCAGCGCATCTCCGAGATTCCTTGCATCATCATGGGCAAGCGCAAGTCCGAGTCGGAGCAGCCTGGCGAGGAGCCTGCTCATGACGCCCGCGTCCCGAAGGCCGTGAAGCTTGCCAGAGATGCCCTCCAGGTCGCAGGTGTCGACGTGTCCGAGGTGAAGCCTGATGACTTCAACGTGCTGAGCCCGAAGGCCGTGAACGACCTCTACAACGCCATGCGCCACCACCTCAAGACCAGGAATGGGGACGGCTTCAAGGAGTACTGCACCGTGAAGACGGACTCTGAGAGGCGCGAGTGGCTCTCGCGCTTCATCATCGACCCGAAGAGCGGCGGCTGCAGGGGCTTCAGCCAGACTACCTGCACCAGGTCCATCACCGACGAGTCGGAGATCCAGTGGTGCACGATCGACCAGCTGGGGAGCGCTAACTGGTTCAACAACGCCGAGCGCGCGAGGCTCGTCGCCGAGAGCGGCGAGCTCGACTCGCGGCCATCCAGGCTGCAACTTGCCACAGGAAAAAGCAACTTCTTCTCCTTCTTCTCCTTCTCCTTCTCCTCCTCCCTCAACCTTTCCTTGCCGCGCCCTCAAAGGTTTCGGGCCCTCGCCAACAACGGCATCCTTGTGTTCAAGATCTCCAAGGAGATCATGCGCAAGCTCGAGGGGGTCACCGAAGAGAGCGCTACCGTGTGTGAGGTCGTGCCTGACCTATACTTACCACCACCTCCTCCTTCTCCTCCTCCTTCTCCTCCTTTTCCTTCTCCTTCTCCTCCTCATCCTCCTCCTTCTCCTCGTCCTCTCCCTCCCCCCCCTCCGCATCTCTCGCCTCCTTCTCCTCCTCCTGCGCCTGCCCCTCCTCCACCTTCAACTGATCATCCTCAGCCCAGGCTACAATGACTGACGAACAGTATCAGACCGTGAGGAACTCGATGAACGATAGCCTTCACAAGCCTGTCATCCCAGCGATCGAGGACGACAAGAGCCGTGGGAACCGTAGCCGCAAGCCTACTAAGGGGCCCGTTCCGAACGAGACCCCCGAACAGAGGACAAAGAGGGGGCAGCTTGAAGCAAGCAAAAAACGAGTGGCCACGAAAACTTCTGAATTGAACTCGCTGAAGAGGTATTACGATAATATTACATCAGAGTTAGACGGCATCGATTGGATCGAGTCCACTCTCAAATCGAAGGGGTTCCCCGACGCCATGGCATCGTTCTTGAGGGGCCAGGTCGAGGGATTCCTCAAGGACGCCATCCAAGTGAAGGATCTTCGGGTAACCTCGACCGACGCCCAGCCCCCCCTGAGAAGGAGGGAAAAGGAATGATGAAAGCGCGGGGAGGAAGGATGGAGGAGGGAGAGTTGAGAAGTGCGAAGGGAGGAGGAGGAACAGGAGGGGGAGGAGGAGGATGAGGAAGAGGATGAGGATGATGATGATGATGATGATGAGGAGGAGAAGGAGGAGGAGGAGGGCTGGGTGGACGAGGAGGGGGAAAAGGAGGAGGAGGATAAGGGGGAGGGGGATGAGGAGCGTGTCGCCCCAGGAGCTCTACTACAAGTACAAGCCAGTGCCAGATCCCGACTGGAGCCCCGAGCTCATCGAAACGATGCTGGAAGAGATCAAGAACGCGAAGAACTACTTCAGGGTCCGCCTGCACCAGGGCGGCAAGTCCGATGCTGGCTGCGACAAATGGTACAAGGACCATCTGTCTTGCGGGAGCCCACCCTTCCCCCTCCTCCTTCTCCTTCTCCCCCTCTTCCGCCTACTCCCTCCTCCTTCTCCTCCTCCTCCTCCTTCTCCTCCTTCTCCTCCTCCTCCTTCTCCTCCTCCGTCTGAGTCTCCCCCTTCTCGTCTTGCCTCCTCGTGCTCCTCCCTCTCCCCCTCTCCCCTCCTCGTCCTCCCCCCTCTCCTCCTTTCCTCCTCCTGGCTTGCTCTCGCCAGGAGACCTGGGTCGACATGAAGAAGATGTGCGGACCGAAGTGACGCCATGCATTCTCCAGAAATCGTACGAACGAGCGCCTGGGAATGTTGCGTCGGCCATCAAGGGCCCCGAGGTCCCCGCGCAGCCTCGGCCCTCTAGGGCCCAGCGCAACGCGCGAACGAAAGCAACGGAGCCAAACGCCATGGAGGCGCTGGTGCGATTTCGAACGTTGTCTCGGGCATGCGACGCTGGGGTTTATAGCTTCCATGGCTTGTCTCAATCGCTGCCCTGAAGATTCAGGGCGATAGCCGCAATGCCGAAACTCCTGCTTATTCACATTCTTCAACTTCTCATCCTTGTTCACCTTCTCATTCGCTGTCCCACTCCACCTCCCTGCCCCCTCTCTAAGAACAATCGCACGCCGAATAGCCTTTGGCCCTAGACAACGCCCACCGCAGCATGGGGACCCGCGGCGGTGTGCGCCAACGTTTAGGACTGTCTGGCAATGGCGGGGGCACCGATCAAGACAGGGTTCCCAAGAGGTCCAAGGCCCCCCCCGAACAGTCGGCACCACCTGGGGGCACATCGCCGACAGAAGGAGGAGGAGGAGGAAGAGGAGGAGGAGAAGGAGGGCTGGGTGGACGACGAGGAGAGGTGGAGGAGGAGGAGAGAGGGGTAAGGGACGGCGGGAAGGAAGGAGGGTGGAGGTAGGAGGAGGATGCAGAGGAGAAGGCAGAGGAGGAGGCAGAGGAGGGGCAATTCCAAAGATACGTCTAAGACACCCGCCGCTCAGAGGTCGCGCACAGCCGACTGGCTATGCGAAGCGTTTCGCAAGGGTGCGCTGCCTGCTACGAAGATTACTGACGCTGCCAGAGCGTTCGCTTCAGACGCCACCTCCGTCGGCGAGCTGAGCGACATTGCACGAGCAGGTTGCGGTGGCAAGCACCGCGGCAACTCGTGCAGGATCCTTTTTTTTTGTTGTTGGTATGTGGCGAACCCGTGCACGCTCGCATGTTCGTTCGTGATCTCGATCCTCGTTCGGATCGGTGCAACAGTTCGTGCTCGTCGATATTTCGAGCACGTAGCCCAGCGAAAAAAAAAACACTACATCTCCCAGGGACCTGATTACGCACTTGTCGAGCTCGTCCACATTTCCACCAGTTTACCAAGCGAACGCCACTTTCTGGGACCCCGTTACGTGTACGCAATACCAAGCGCCGATGATTTTTTTGCTACCTATCGAGGTGTTAGAGACATTGGTTCCCGTGGGGGAGGAAGAGCTTTGGGCGCAGTGGTCCGAGAGCCAGCCTGGCGCTGAGAAAGCATTCGCTGCCCTTCGTTCGTCCTTAGGTTTAGATGAATGCGATGGCACCTCAGCTCCGATCGGGGCGTTCGGAGTCTGGGGTGACGCTGCGCCGTGCAAGCATAGAGACTCGCTCTACATAACGTTGTGGGACCTCAAGACTGGGCCCTGTCGCCGAAGATTTTGGTTCTGTGCGTTCCCCAAGCGTTCAGTGTGTAATTGCGGTTGCTCGGGTAGGCACACGTTCGAAACTGTGTGGTCAGTGCTTCGGTGGGTAGTTCTCAATTTGATTGCTGGTCGAGTGCCCTCGTGTCGACGCGACGGCGTGCCCTTCTCGAAGTCTCGGTTTACGGGCGACTCGATTAGGGCCCTCAGGATTGGAGTGGAGCTCCGATTTAGGGCGCTGTGCTGCCAGGCCAGAGGCGACTGGAGCTGGCTTAAGCAAGCGTTTGATCTCCGAGGCTGGCAGGGCAAGTTGGCGACCACTCGTTGTTGTTTTAAGTGCGCCTGCGTTCGGAGGGACATGGGCGACGCTGATCCTAACGCTGAGTGGCGTGGATCGCTGCTTTCGCACGCTGATTTTTTGAACGAGGTGCTTTCAGGAAGCTCGATGCTCGTCGGCCTCTTCAAACTGCCTGGCTTCCGAGTGGAGTTCGTCGTGGCAGACGTCATGCACACAGTATGCTTGGGGATCGCACAGGTTTTGTTGGGGAACATTTACTGGGAGCTCTTCCAGTCCTTGAACGGGGTTTACAAGGAACCCCAAGTTGCCCTCGGTTAGCTTCTCGCCATGATCAAGCTCGCCGCGAGGACGATCAATAAGACCATGCCGATCAACCAACTTACTATTGGTATGATTCGTGGGTGTGAGACTTCGGCACCGCGCCTCAAGCTCAAGGCATGGTGACGTTAGCAAATCACATCGCGAGGGAAGGAGACAGGAGGGGAGAGGAGCAAAGAGGAGTGGAGGAGAGAATAGTGGAGAGGAGGAAGGGACTGGAAGGGAGGGGAGGGGGGGACACACGCCCAACACCTCACTGCCTGTCCCCGTCGGTTCCCTATATATTCCAATATGCCCTCCTTCATACTTGCGTCCTCCCCCCTTATCCTGTCTCTTCTCCTCCCTGCAACTTGCCTCGGCCCCTCAGGCAGCTGAGACCAGACATATGGTTCCGATTACCTGTTTTATGCTGGCTAACTTCGTCGACACAACGTCAAGACACGACATCAACAGGCACGACTGCGCACAAGCTTTGAAGCGGTTTTACCACGAGCTAAACAACTGGAACCACGAGCGTTCACACGTCGAAGTCGGCGTGGCAGCTAGGCAGCATCTCAGCATGTACAGGCTCCTGCATATCGAGGCTCGCATTGACAATTCTGATTCGTGTTTCTGGAAACTGTATCCTAAACATCACCTGTTTATCCATTGTGCCGAAGATCAGATCGAGGCGCACGGAAATCCAGCCAGCCACTGGTGCTACGGCGACGAGGATGAGATAGGTGGCGCCACTGAGGCTGCAAGGTTTGCCCGCCCCCGTACCATTGGGACCAGCATTCTCGATAGGTACCGATGCGGTGATCTTTTCAAGTTTCAGCCAGCCAGTTCTGCTGCGTCAGTGTCCCAGCCAAGCACCTAGGGCCTAAACTAGAGCGAACTACAATAACATGAGAAACATCGGACAACATCATGAAACTTCTTATTCGATGGTGCTTGGCTGTGTGCCTGCAGCATGCTGAGTTGCTCGAGCGTTCGCTTGTGGGGAAAAGCGAGGCGAAAAACTTGCTAACGCTGGCTGCTCCTGCTTTTTCCTTCCTCCACCACCTCCTCCACTCCTCTCTTCTCTTCCCTTTTCTCCTTATTCCTCTCGCCTCCTCCTTCTCCTCCTCCTCCTCCACCTCCTCCCTCTCCTCCTTCTCCTCCTTGTCCCACTGCTCCTCCTCCTCCTCCTCCTCCTCCTCTTCCTCCTTCTCGTCCTCCTCCTCATGCTGCTCCTCCTTCTCCTCCTCCTCTTCCTTCTCCTTCTCCTTCTCCTCCTCCTTCTCCTCCTTCTCCTCCTCTGTTCTCTCTCCTCTCTCCTCTCTCCTCCTTCTCCGCCTTCTCCACCTTCCTCTCCGTAACTCTCCCTGTCCTTCCTGGTCCCACGACGGCCGTCTGGTTGGGGCACCCATGGGAGAACAGCGACGACAAGGACGGTGCGGAGGAGGAGAAGGAAGAGGAGTAAGAGGAGCAAAAGGACCAGCAGCAGCAGCAACAGCAACAACATCAGG